TGTAATATATAAACATATGTATATATAGATATATTTATGTATATATTTGTATATATGCATATAAATTAAATATATACAATTTTATTACATTTTTTTTCTGTGCCATAGTTATTTAAGACAGAGGAATGCGTCTTACACCAATTATCCTTCATTTCTAGACTGTCAGTGTTAATTCTTAATCAGAGAAAATATTTTTGTATGAACTTACCAATACCTGAATATATTCTTTTGGTTGACATTATTAAGAATTTTAACATTTTAGTATGAATACTATAGACTTATTGACAATGGTATTCACTACGTTTGACATTTTAGATTATGCTTGATCTATTTGAAAGAAGGAATTGTAAAGCCATGAACTAAATGATAAAATGTCATATTTGAAAACACAGGTTAATTCTACCATAAGTTTCATCATATTGAAATGTATGTTCTTTATCTGTTTTCACACTCTAGAATAAAACTTTACTATATCTTTTCAATCTATATACAGAACAGATTATCAAGGAGGCTGGGGTCTAATGAGGAGAAATATGACATCAAGATTGGAGGAAGATTCATCAACAATCTGCGCTATGCAGAAATACAACCCTGCTTGCTGAAACTGAGCAGGACCTGAAGTGCTTGCTGCAGAAGGTCAAGGACTGCAGCCTTCAATATGGATTAAAGTTCAATATCAAGAATACAAAGATTCTCACTACTGGGCCAACTGGCAGCATCAGGATTGATGGTGAAGAGACTGAGATTATTAATAGCTTTAGTTTACTTGGCTCCACAATCAACACTCTTGGCACCAGCAGCTAGGAAACTGAAAGACATATTACAATGGGAAAGTCTGCTGTTAGGGACCTCTCCAAAGACACTAAGGTGTGTCTGATACAGGCCATAGTCTTTGTAATCACTTGCTATGTGTCAGAGAGTCGGACAATTACTAGGGATGACAGAAGGTAAATTAATGCCTTTGACTTGTGGTGCTGGAGAAAAATATCAAATATACCATGGACTGCTAAGAAAATGAACAGGTTTACCCTGTTGTTGTTGTTGTTATGTGCAGTCAAGTCGTTTACGACTCATAGCGACCCTATGCACAACAGCCCTAAACCCTGCTCTATCCTGCGCCAACCGCACTGCCTCTGACACACCCATCCCGATTACCCCAGTCACTGAATCAATCCATCTCATAGAGGGTCTTCCCCTCCTGCACTGCCCCTCCACCCTCTCAAGCATGATGTCCCTCTCCAAGGACCCGTCCCTCCTGGCAACATGTCCAAAGTATGTCAGACGAAGCCCCAGAATCCTTGCCTCCAAGGAGCAGCTTGGTTTAATCCTCTCCAAGATGAATCTGTTTGTTTTCCTGGCAGTCCATGGTACATTCAGTACTCTTCTCCAGCACCACAACTGAAAAGCATCCACTCTCCTTCTGTCCTCCCTAGTCATTGTCCAACTCTCTGATGCACAACAAGCGATTGCAAAGACCATGGCCTGTATCAGGCACACCTTAGTCTCCAGAGAGACACCGTTGCTCCTGAGCACTTTAGAGAGGTCCTTAGCGGCAGACTTTCCCATTGTGATACGCTTTTTGATTTCCTGACTGCTGGTGCCAAGAGTGATGACTGTGGAGCCGAGCAAACTGAAGCCGTGAACGATCTCAATCTCTTCGCCATCCATCCTGACGCTGCCAATTGGTCCAGTGGCGAGAATCTTTGTCTTCTTGACATTGAACCTCAGTCCATACTGAAGGCTGCAGTCCTTGACCCTTCGCAGCAAGTGCATGAGGTCCTCCTCAGTTTCAGCAAGCAGGGTTGTGTCATCTGCATAACGCAGATTGTTACTAGATCTTCCACCAATCCTGATGCCACAATTATCCTCATAGAGCCCAGCCTCTCGGATAATCTGCTCTTCAGACATGTTGAAAAGGTATGGAGACAGGATGCATCCCTGGCGTACACCCTTCCCAATTTTGAACCATGCAGTGTTACCCTGCTCTGTTCTGACTACTGCCTCTTGGTCCAAGTATAGGTTTCGCATTAGCACAATTAAATGTTCTGGGATCCCCATTCTTCTCAGAGTCAGCCAGAGTTTGTTATGATCCACGCAGTCAAATGCCTTTGCATAATCAATGAAACACAGATAGACATTCTTCTGGTATTCTCTGCTTTAAGCCAAGATCCATATAACATCAGCAACAATATCCCTAGTACCACGACCCCTTCTAAACCCAGCCTGGACTTCTGGTAGTTCTCTGCTGATGTGCTGTTCTAATCGTTTTTGGATAATCTTCGGTAGAATCTTGCTTGCATGTGAAATCAATGACACTGTTCTGTAGTTTTCACACTCAGTTGGGTCACCTTTCTTTGGAATGGGAACAAATATAGACCTCTTCCAGTCAGTTGGCCAAGTGGTTGTTCTCCAGTTTTCTTGGCACAACTTGGTGAGCACATCCAGGGCAGCATCTGTTATCTGAAATACTTCAATTGGTATACCATCTATTCCTGGGGCCTTATTTTTTGCTATTTCCTTCAAAGCAGCTTGAACTTCTTCCTTCATTACCATAGGCTCTTGCTCATATGTTATTTCATTAAATTCTTCTGTATCTGCCAATTCCTCCCTATATAATGACTCAGTATATTCCTTCCATCTTCTTTTAATACTTCCTGGATCCAAGCTTCTCCTTTGAGGCAAGGATTCTTAAGCTTCGTCTGCCATAATTTGGACATGTTGCAAAGAGGGACTAATCCTTGGAGAGGGACATCATGCTTGGGAGGGTAGAGGAACAGCACAGGATAGGAAGGCCCTCTCTGAGGTAGATTGATTCAGTGGCTGGGGTAATCAGGAGATGTGTCGGAGAAAATGGGATTGGAACAGGACAGAATAAGGGTTAGGGCTGTCGTACTTTGGGTTGCTATGAGCCTAAGGCAACTCGATGGCACATAACAACAGCCACCACCTAATGAATATTAATAATTATATTGAGTGGGGAAAGGTAGAAAAAAATATTGGTTATTTTAAGTGTCATTTATTAAATGTACACTGAAGTATGAAATAAGTGGTATCCACTAGAGCTCATTTGATATTGAAAACATCTGACATTCTAAAGCTGTTACTATAATTAGTTTGAGTTTAATGTTTGGAACTTTTATATATCACTATTTTTTAAAAATTCAATTTATTGCTTCTTGGCCAGCAAAAATATAGAAGCAGATGCTTTACCTAGTTAAAATGCCAGTAATATTCCTTCTGAGCAGTTCCTTTGGTAACAAACTAAGAAATAGATTTGAGAAGAAGTAAGGAAAAAAGCAAGTAGAGAAAGTGAATACAATATTCTAGGAAAAGTGGTTGCTGCAATTAGAGTGATGGCATTGAGTTTGGGCAGAGATGAATGAATTCTGGAGACATAATTTAAATATTGAGCAGATATGATTTGATGGTAAATTGGAACTGGAAATTAAGTCAGTGGAGAAAATCAGGGAGTCAGATTAAATGGAATAATCAAGCAGATAAAATAAGCAGATGCTGGGGTTATTTTCTAAAGGGGGAAAAAAGAGTTTGGGATAAGTAAAGGTATTAAAAAGCAGTTGGATATGATGTTGGAGGTAAAGGTGGACTGTGTTCCAGCATGAGCTGAGATCTATCTAGAGAAAGGTTATCTTAAACCAAGTTATGGCTAGGTCTCTGATGTGTTCCAGACGGATTCTTTTCCCGTTTTCTAGGGCTGGATAGAAAAACAATGAAATTATTCTGGTTGTTCATAACTCTGTTAGTTATTATCCTTGTGATCTTGGGTAACTCCATGTCCTTTCTGGATATCTATTCAAATGGGACAATATATCTGAGTTACTTTTCTCACAGGACTTTGTAAGGCCAAATGTGGAAATGCATTTAAAAGCACTGAGTAATTGCATATGAATGTTATTATAAGAATCAAAGGCAATTTAAAATGATATATAAACTTACACTGGATCTTATTTCTTGATTAAAAAGCTAAAATGATGTAAAGAACACCATGGTAGTAATTGCTCATAATTAGCACCAGAGGACTTTCCTTTTAAATGCTCAGATATTTAGAGTTTAATAGACTACCTAGATGTCATAATAAAAGTTTCTTTATTAGTCTTATGCCTCTGGCATAGTATTAATGAGAACAATCAGCTGTGACTTACATATTGTCAAGGAACAGTCTTAAATTGTCTAATCCCCCTGTAGTTCCCCACGAGATCTTGGTTTTATAGAGAAAATAACTGCTTGACACAATCTAAGTACCCCATAGTTACTAATTTAGCACTATTAAAACATGATTTATTACTGTTTTTTCTCAATCTGCCACAATTAGTAAGTTTTGTCCCCCCCCCTTTACTCCAACAACCTCCTGCCTATGCAAAGGATGGTTGAGGAGTGCCTTTTCACGCTAACGTGCTGACATAGATCTAATCAATCTCTGCTTTGTTGTTTTGAACTAACTGATCTCTAATCTTTTTATTTTTAGTCTAAACTAGAGTTGCTAAGTACCACAGGAAAGAAATCCTTCAAAGTATACACAATTACTTAATTAGCTCTTAGGCATTAATTGATCATTTAGCAGGTGTGACTTGAGGAAATCAAAGTAGTTTTGCAGGAAATAAGGTTCACTATTTAAAGACACAAGTGTTTCAAGAATGATTGATGCCTCCAACAGTGGGCAAAATTCACTCCAAAGACTTGAGGCCACTTACAGCAAGGGAGATTGCTTCTGTGAAAGTCTAGCAATGTGTTTTAAGCACTGTTCGTGTGGTTCTCCAAGACTACTTCTATTTTCTTCAGACTCAGGTTTCAAATACTCCCATCTGGTTGCTGGAAAATCAATCTGAAATAAAGGAATGATTTGTCATTTATTGAAGGTGACTCAAAACTGCATTATTAATTTAATTACTTCCATCTTAGATTTGTAGAACCGAGAGTAAAGAAATGTTGCTCTTTTAGATGTTTTTATTATTTTCATTAAGTTAGAACAAACTCATAGTTGACACTCACTTTTCTGAGTTTTCAGAGGCATTAAACTGCACAGGAGGAGACTGCTTATCTCTCTCCCATGGAGCAGCTGGTGAATTCAAATCACATGCCTTTGAGTTTAGTAGTATAACTTCTTACCATTTAACCAACCAAAGTTCCCTAATATTTATTAAAGTAGAATCCTTGGAGTTTGTGCTCAATAGTTTCACATTATATTAAGTTAAACCTCAATTATTTATATAGAAGTTATATATTATTTATCAGTAATGCCTTCTGAGCCAAAATAGGAAACAAAATAAACAGAGCATGTATTTTTTTCCATAAAGATAAATATTGTTATATACCATCCAATCAGAATCAACCAATTTTTGACCCTCCAGTGAGTTTTCAGAGGCTGTAAACAGCACAAAAATTTTTTTTTCATCTTTCTTCTTTGTAGAAACTGGTAGATGGATATGTTTTGTTTATGATGAGGTTCAGTTTTTTTCATTTTGGTTTTAAATGAATATGTGTTATAAAGTGATGAAATTATGTTGTTTTTGTTGTTAGATACTGTAAGTTGAATGCGATCCATAGTGACCCTTTGAACAATAGATCTGAACCTGTCTTATCCTGTGCCATCCTCACACTTCTTGATACGTTAGAGCCCGTTGCAGCAATCACTGTGTCAATCCACCTCATTGAGGGTCTGTCCTCTTCTTCCCCTCCCTTCTCTTCTTTTCTGAGTATCATGTCCCTCTCCAAGGAATAGCTCCTCCTTGCAACATGCCCAAAGTATGTGAGGCAAGATGATTACAGAAGGTAATTATAATTTTTCATGTCATCACTCAAGGCAAACAAAAACTAGACACCATGTTGGTGTCTGATTCATGACCTCTGCAAGTCTGGGAACAAATTGTCGAGAGGAGAGAAAATTCTTCTCAGGTTAAAATCTATTTTACAAATATGTAATCCAATGGATTTTTTTTTTCAATTTGGAATTTTCTGGTCAGATTTATAGATAATGTACCATGGACTGCCAAGAAAACAAACAGATTCATTCTAGAGAGGGTTAAACCAGGCTACTCCCTGGAGGCAAAGATTCTGGGGCTTCGTCTGACATACTTTGGACATGTTGCAAGGAGAGACAGGTCTTTGGAGAGGGACATCATGCTTGGTAGAGTAGAGGGACAGCGCAGGAGGGGAAGACCCTCTATGAGGTGGATTGATTCAGTGACTGGGGTAATCGGGATGGGTGTGTCAGAGGCAATGCGATTGGCACAGGATAGAGCAGGGTTTAGGGCTGTTGTACATAGGGTCGCTATGAGTTGCAAACGACTTGACGGCACATAACAACAACAACAACAACAACAATTCAATGTATTTTCCAACGTTCAATGATATTTTGATTCAATAATAAGTTGCTATAACAAACCAATTGGGTAGTTCCAAAATATGTAAGTAAGTAAGCTACAGATTTTACTGTCTTATGCATTTGTTTGTCATAGTGGTGAGAATCCAGGTTGGATTCATCTGCAGCAGCCAGATTCTAAAGAGGTTTGTTTGCTGGTTCTGGTGAGGATTAAGGTGGATTGTTTAGCCACCAATGGGTGTTTTAATTGTTTTCGGTCAAACATTCTTCTAAGTGGTATAGCACTGGCGTGTCCATTTGCTGAACAGAGGTAACTCATGGTTGTTGTGATGCTAAACACTGTGACACTGATGTGTCAAATATGATAATGATTACCCATGGTGGACAGTGTTTGGCGGAGCTTCCCAATTAAAACAAGCTTGGAAACAGGAGTGGAATCCACTTCCGAAATAGCTTGTCTCTGGAAACTCTATGAACGTGGAGAAATGGTGAAAGTTATACAAGTTTTTAGGTCTTTTATTCATAGGGTTGCTATGAGTCATCTACCACTTGACAGCACTTAACAACAACAATGGTAAGAAGCTGTACTGTAATCCCAAATGAACACAGTTCAAATCCACCAGATGCTCTGTGGGAGAAAAACAAGCAATCTCCTCCTTTGCAATTTACTGTCTCTGAAATCCTGCTGGAGGATCAGCTATGAGTCAATTCTGACTTGATGGCACACAATAACAACAACAACATATATTTGAATAATGTCATTATGCATTTAAAAAATACATTCATTTTCCTCTGCTGAACTATGTTAGGTTATACTCTCAGAGAAATTTGAGATAACTCACAGAGATGATTGTGTGAGCTGTAGTTTAATCTTTCTGGACCCCTCTTTATTTTAAGAAGCTGTAGCAATTTCCTTTTGTAACTACTAAAATATGCTGTGATACTTGTTTGTTTGTTTTTTTATCATAGTACATCTCTTATTACTCCAACGTGATGAAAAAGAAGAGAGTAATGAATCAGGTAACCCAAGGAAATATTAAAATCAATTTTATTTCTTAACAGCAAGATTCACTTTGGTGCCATTGAAATGAGTGTATCCAGAACTTTCAGGTCATATTTTACTTTTAGAGTGATAAAATATTTTTATACTAAAAAAAAAATTTAGTGTACTCTTCCAATTTTATAAGGATTCTAAATAAAATGTAGGTTGGATGAGGAAACTACAGCATTAAATGATAATACAGTAGTATTCTCATACATTACTGCACAAAATATAATAAATTGTTTTCTATATGTCTCTTATGAAATAGATTTTTACAAGTTCTGATACATAGGTAAACTTCTCTATCAAATGGACTTTTTTTCAATTGGTTATGATAAAATAGAGATTATTGAGTCACTCACATAAAATTTTAGATTTTTTTTCCAGCTGCCTTTATACCAATGTTTTATAAAAGAGGAGTACCCTTGTATGGTGCTTTCTCAAAAAGTTGCAAATAAAAATACCATTTGACCTAGCAATTCCACTACTGGGAATTTACCCTAAAGAAATCATAACCGCCCCCCAAGCAGACATATGCACACCCATGTTTATTGTGGCTTTGTTCACAATAGCAAAGAGCTGGAAACAATGCAAGTGTCTATCAATAAACAAATGGATAAGGAAGCTCTGGTATATTCACACAATGGAATACTATGAAACATTGAGAAACAAGGAACTCATAAATATTATACAAAATGGGTGACCCTGGAGGAACTTATGCTAAGTGAAATATGTCAGTCACCAAAGGACTAATATTGCATAGGGCACTGCTGTAAAATGGACAGACATTGGGGTTGAAGGAAGACAGAGAAGGAGGGGAGGAATGATGTATACTGCATTGAAACAGATGAGGAAGAGAACTGTTTAAAAGGGATATATGGTTGGGTATTATAATGGTCATGACAGGAGTCCAGAATGAAGGCTGCATAGTGGAGTGGATGTGAGGGGAGAGATTGCATAACAATGAAAGAGTTCTCTTTTTACTTCTTAAGGAGAAGAGTCACTTGGGGGTGAGGGGGTGGACAGGGAGAAAAGTGCAACAATGAATGAATGGAAGCCCTAAATCTCTGTAAACTTTCACTAAAATTAATAAAAAAGAGGAGTACCCCAAATATAATTATTGATGCATTATTTGTTCCAGAATATGTTTGAGTGTCATGCTTTATGGTGGATGTAAGAACTATCCATTATTTTCAGAGAAATTAAATTCTAATTGAGGATAAATAGCACACTTGTTTACAACTAAAATGTTCTTTTTCATTTCCATTGAGTTAGCCTCCAATTCATGGTGTAACCATTTATAGTGGACACTGACCACTCACGTGCCATTTTCTATGACTGATTTTGGTCTGATTCATTATGGTACATTGTTGTTGTTAGGCGCCCTTGAGTTGAGTATGACTTAGCACTCTGATGAACAACAAACCTGAACCCTGTCTTATCTTGTGCCATTCTCACAATCTTTGACACACTCTAGCTCATTGCCAGTCACTGTGTCAATCCATCTGGTTGGGGGTCTTCCCTGCCTTAGCCATCCCTCCACCTTTCCAAGAATGATGTCCTCCAAAGTATAGCCTTTCCTAGCAACATACCCAAAGTATTTGAGATGAATATCTTCTTCACAAGGCTGTGAGATCTTCTTTGCCTCTAAGGAGTACCCTGTGATTGTACCTTCTCCAAGACATATCTATTATTTTGTTTGACAATCCATTAGATATTCAACAGGGCTTTTTCCATGATAATAGTTCACAACCATTAACTCTTCTTCTGTCTCCTTTATTCATTGTTCTGTTTTCAGCAGTATAGCAAGTGAGTGAAAAGACAATGGCCTGAATCAGCTACACGTTAGTCCTCAAACTGACAGCATTGCTTCTCAATAATTTGGAGAGATCCCTGACTACAGACTTTCCCAATGCAATATACCCTTGATTTCCTGAATAGTAGAACCAAGTTTATTGATAGTGGATCCAAGTAAGAAGTTGTTGACATTTCAATCTTTTCTTCTTTGTTGCCTATCTGTCCTGTGGTGAAGAATTAGTTTTCTTGATGTTGAGAGGCAATCCATATAAAAGTCTACAGTGTCTGACCTTCTGCAGCTAGTGTTTGAAGCCCTCCTCACCTTCAGCAAGAAAGATTGTGTCAAAAAGTGAAGGTTATTGATAAATCTTCCTCCAATACTGATGCCACATTCTTCTCCATAGAGTCCAGCTTCTTGAATAATTTTTTTTAAGTATAGTTATTGAATAGGTACAGATAAAAGATACAACTCTCACAAACACCTTTCCTGATTTCAAAACATGTTATCTTCCTTTGCTCTGCCCACACAATAACCTGTTGGTCTAGGTATAGAGCTTGCATGAGCACAATTAAGTGTCCTTCTGCCTTGTTCTCAACTTTTGCATTCTAGTCGCCAATTATTATTAATGAATCTTGATTTTATCTTTGATTGAATTCAGACTGC